AGTGTTCTGGTGTGAATCAGGAGAGAGATCTGCACAGATCAAGCAGCGTTTAAACAGCTCTAAACACATATGTGGCTGGATTCTGATGTGAGAGACAACAGCAGATGGACTTTTTCACTTGCTGATGCATTATTATCGTTTATGGACTCATATTTTAGTTAAAAACGTCTTCATGCTTGATTTGTTTCAGCTTTTGTCTTCTCCAGATGTTAACTGATGGACTGGAGTGCTGTGCATTATTGTGATGTTTTTATCAGCTGTTTGGACTCTCATTCTGACGGCACCCATTCACTGCAGAGCATCCATTGCTGAGACACTGATGCAATGCTACATTTCTCTAAATCTGAGGAAGAAACATCTCATCTACTGTGTATTTTGGATGGCCAGAGAGTAAGCACTTTATCAGGAAATTTTAATTTTTTTGGTGAACTATTCCGTTAAATGCCTTCTGGAGACTGAGTTCATTAAGGTGTTTTTCTCAGGAGAAACATCTGGAGATTTAAGTCTCCATTTGTCCTCCATTTCATCCCATTGCTGTCTTGGAGAAATATCCGGGGTGTATTGTTTATGATTTTGCTTCCTTTATAGTAGACTACAGTGATCTTTTTCTAAGGAGAATCTGAGAAGCTGGACATTTTAGAAAAAGTCTAACATATTTGCAAATTAGTTTTGCGTTTCCTGTCAGAGAAGTGTTTTAAAAACAACTTACTAAAGAAGATAATTATCATGTGGTAGGTGATTCAATATTCTGTTTTTTAAATGTTGCTTTATAGAAACATTTATCAAACAGTTACAAAAGGTCAATATTTCAGAGAGCGAATGTTTCCTTCATTCGTGAAATAGCCGTGTTTAGCTGGTCTCAGTTTTGCTGATTCTGTCCGTCGCCGTATACAACACCAAACCTGTTCTGCATCAGCACGTTCTGGCAATCAGCGCTCGGCGGGAGATCTATAGAGTTCAATCTTTCCTTTTCCTCTCCACGGTTATTATGCAGAACTATAAAGGATGGAAGTGGTTACAGGCGGCTCTGAAACGAGGTTTTTAAAAATCTTTTTGTGTTTCATGTAATAAGACATTTAGAAACACCGACAATTCTGGGCTGCGGCGAGGAGGTTTATTATCGTGAGATGGAGAACATGGAGACAGACTGCTGGGGTCAAAATATATGATTCATAATGCAAATTTAGATGTAATTCTCTAAGCAGATTTAAGCTGCGTTTGATTTGATTCACTTTATTCATAAACCATCTCAATAGACGTTGACAAATGAAGCCGACTTCTGAAACAAAATCATATAGCGTTTAATATTTTCTTATTCAGATGTGTTTCGGTAACTACACAATACATTTTTTCCCCCTGTATTTGCAATAAAGAGGGCTTGTATTATGATCATTGTGAATGATTCTGAGCTCATAATGTGCTGCGATTGCGTTCCAGATATGAACTCGACTTTCTAATGCAGGATCTTAGCTGAAATGAAACCTCGTGCTTGACGGATTTGGACAGACTGCACGAGCAGTAATGCAAAATTATGCACCTCACGTGAAGGTCACAGGAGATTTGATTCACAGTTGACTCCTCTAAGAGTTTCAAGTCAGCATGTTTCTAAGGTAACGTCATGATATGCTATGAGTTAAGTTTGGGGTTAGTATGATTTTTAAAATGTTTTTGAAAGAGTCTCTTCTGCTCAGCAAGGCTGCATTTATTTGACCAAAAAAAAAGTGAAATATTATTACAATTTAAAACAGTTTTCTGTGTGAATCTCTGTTAAACTGTAATGTATTTCTGTGATGCGCAGCTGTATTTTCAGCATCCTTACTCCAGTCTTCAGTGTCACATGATCTTCAGAAATCAGTATAATATGCTGATTTACTGCTCAAGAAACATTTATGATTATTATCAATGTTGAACACAGTTGTGCTGCGCAATATTTTTGTGGAAACTGTGATACATTTTATTTTTAAGGATTCTTTGATGAATAGAAAGTTCAAAAGAACAGCATTTATTTTAAATAGAAATCGTTTGTAACATTATAAATGTCTTTACTGTCACTTTTGATAAATTTAATGCATCCTAGATAAATATAATGATAAATTATTTTTTAATTATTTTTATTTTTTTAAATTATAAATTATTTTTAATTTATCTAATTATTATTAATTAGATACATTTGAAATTATGACATTTTATACAAAGGAAAAAAAAAAAGATGATTAAATATATATTATATTTATATAAAATATAAAAAATATATACAAATATTTAATATACTAATAAACTAATGCATAGTTTAAAAGATGTTTTTAAGTTTTTAAAGTGTCAATTTAATGCGTCCTTGATTAATGAAACTATTTATTTCTTTTAAAAGAAATAAATACTTTCATTTTATATATATACAGTATATATATATATGATTTATACAACAGTTTGTTCTGGTTCTCAAATCTGATTGGTTGAGAACCGTGAGATATTGTACTGGTATCGCTACAGGATCGCCCTTTCACCGTTTGTTTCAACGCCCTTCCCGTGTTTCTCACAGCGAGTGTAATGGCGGACGCCCAAATACACTAAAATTTAAAAATAATACTGTTTTTGTGTCACTGAATGTAGTTTTAAGAGTTTTTATGCGAGAATGTACTTGTTTAGACTTCAAAATAATAATAAAGAGATGTGAGCTCCAGGGCGTCAGCGGCCGTTCAGCGCTCATGAACACACCGAGAACAGCCTCACCTCGGCCAGATCTTCTGGAAATCACCGCTGGCTCTGATGTCTCTGTAGTGGTTAAACATGAGATATAATTAATTTTGGGTAATTCTAACAGGCAGTCTTTGGACTCATTAATCTATTATTTGTTCCAGAGTTTTGGCTGAAGGCAAAATCTCATCACGTTATATTTTATGTAACTTCAATACTGTATATCAGAGCGCTGCCTTTGTACTTTTGACTGAATTGTCTAGCAACTTTTATGATGACTGTTGTTGTTGTTTATTATTCAATAAATAATACTTTATATTCATAGTAGTATTTAGTATTGTGTGTGTGTTCGTGATGGTGAATTTAGTGACATTATTCCTCCATTAGATGGCAACAAGAGACTGTTTTACGAGTCCGCAGTAAAGACTTTTATATTGAAAGAGACTGAAACAGGGTTGTAAACAAGGAAGTTCTTTTTACTTTTAATTCCAGCTTGTAAGACGCAGTTAACAAATGCAGTGAGCAGCGCTGTCATCAGAAATCACCCTTAACAGATGAAAGGACAGTATGACAAAGATATGGCTTTCCTCAGCGGACATTCAAACTCATGTTTTATTGTGAATATGAGATTGAGCTGAAGAATGAATGCTGTATCAGATGCAGGTAATCACACTCGCTCAGTCAAGAGCTTTTAATTCAGTGATACAATAAGCTTTCAATGTAGCAACTCAACATTTCTTCGTTTCTAAAGGGACGTTCTTGAATTAGTAACGGATCTTGAGCTCAGCTGTTAAACTGTCAAACTGAGATTTTAATCCGTGGCGGAAGGAAGTAGTTCTGTACAAAACTCTGTCTACTCGTGTCATATTGCTCATATATTAGAGTGTGTATGTATTTATGTATATATATATGTCTAATACATATATACCTTTTGACTTTTTTATCACAAGTATCATGAAGTCTCATGGCTACAATGATGATGACAAAAAGAAGCAATTTGACACTTGTTTTAAAAATATAGAAAAATCATGTCTAATTTTAATTGTTTAAAGAGTTCATATGATGGTAAATGCAGTCTTTGTGGGCCGCTCACATCGTTTTAGAACAAAAGTATCCTGTTTTGTTGCAAGAATACAATCTAATGTAATTCTTTCAGCATGAAGTCACAAATCAGTTTCTCTGCCAGAGCAGTTGTCGTGACGGGAAGCTTCTATCTCATGCAGCAAAGAGAATCTCATACGCCATTCACACCATGAGACGAGAGATAAAGAGAGCCCTGTAAAAGTGAAGACGGCAGCGCCTTTTATATTGAAAGAGACTGAAACAGGGTTGTAAACAAGGAAGTTCTTTTTACTTTTAATTCCAGCTTGTAAGACGCAGTTAACAAATGCAGTGAGCAGCGCTGTCATCAGAAATCACCCTTAACAGATGAAAGGACAGTATGACAAAGATATGGCTTTCCTCAGCGGACATTCAAACTCATGTTTTATTGTGAATATGAGATTGAGCTGAAGAATGAATGCTGTATCAGATGCAGGTAATCACACTCGCTCAGTCAAGAGCTTTTAATTCAGTGATACAATAAGCTTTCAATGTAGCAACTCAACATTTCTTCGTTTCTAAAGGGACGTTCTTGAATTAGTAACGGATCTTGAGCTC